AAGCATGAGCAAAGGACTCAAGCACCAAGGCTGCACTGAGGGGTGCGAATTGTGAACCACTGTCAACTACCCGGATAAACATGTAGACTACCATCGTTGGCAGCCGTCCCCTGTCGCAGTCGCTATTTTGTCCAGTGCTGCCAGTGTTTCATTCCTTTACTCATTTGTATGCAAACAAAAACATTTCTTTTCATACAAGGAGATCTTGGCCAAGAAAACCACGCACACAACGGCACACAGCTGCTTGCATTCGAGAAGCGGCGTCTGCGAATACACAGAATGCATTCCCGGCTGGAATGCAAAGCTCGTCTCAAACCGCGCATGTCATGGACTCTTTCCCCGTCAAAACAGTTTGCCGCTGCAGCGGAGAGATCTGAGCGAACAATTTATCGTTGCATAGATTATGTGACCTGACAATTAGAAAAACAAATAAAGACAATATTAAAAAATATAATATAAAATAAAAAACATATATTTAAAAAAATATATATATATAATTTAAAATTAATAAAAACAAAATACAATAATAATAAAAAAATCCATATAATAATTAATTAAATTAATTTTGGATTTTCAAAAATAATCGATATATTTTTCACCGACAATAAATTAATAATTTTCCTTTAGGGTTTAAAATTAATGGTAATATAAACCTATTCAAATTTAGATAATATAAAACTATTTATTATTCTATAAAATAATAATAAAATATATGCCATTTTTTCCGAGCTTTGAGTAAATTATATGCTTTCTTTCAACAATATAGGTTTATGGTAGGTAGTCAGATTATGTACAACATCATTAACAAAAGGGTACTGTGATTTATACAAGAGTTCAAAAAATAGAGCAATTAATAAAATACATAATATTAAAATAGATATTTATCCTTTTTATAATAATAATTATTATAAACATACCAATGGGCAAAATAATGTAACCAAATATTTTATGGTCGGTGCCGCCAATATCTGTACTGTGGTGTCGGTAGATATTGCCGGTAAATCATTAGAAAGTAATTTTTATTTCCATTATGTTTTTTTATTAAAATTAAAATTTATATGCTAATTAATAATGGTAATAAACCCATAAAATCTTGGAAAATTTTATTCAAGCTAACCTCGAAAATAAGAACTATTGAATAAGATTGTATTTTCAGAAAAATAATAAAATAAAATATTAAAAATTAAGAATATTATTATTTATTTTTTATTCATAATTTTAAAAAATATAATTTATTATAAAATTACAAAAAATTAATTGGAAAGGTAAAGTTGAAAATTTATAATTTTGTAATATGATATTATTATATATATATTAAATATAGGTATTGGAAAAAATAATATAGAAATTATCAAATTTATTTCGAATTTAATTAATGTTTACCTCTATTTCCTAATATACCGCTATTTCGATTTTCATTTTATTTCCATTTTTGGGTTTTTTACTTTTATTTTGTAAAATTTTAATTCCATTTTGGGTTTCTTATATCTATTTTATTTTTATTCGGTTCCATTTTTGGGCTTTATTTCTATTTGGTTTCCATTTTATTTATATTTTTAGGATGTAATTTTTATAATAAAAAATATGTAAAAATTAAAAAAAAATATTTAAAATATATTTAATAAAATAAAAAAAATATTATTAAAAATAATTATTTTTATTATATATAATATATTATTTAATTTTGGTAAATATAAATAATATTTTTTAAAAAAAAATATATAAAAAAATAAATAAATTTTAAAAAATAAAATAAACAATTAAATTTATTTGGAAATGAAATTCAAAAAACACAAAAATTCAATATAATTATATATTTTTAATGATTTTAATAATTAACGAATAATCTATATTTTTGTTATTTTTTTTATTTATTATTAAAAAAAATATATATATAACATTGAATTTTACCTATATTTTTAATTATAAATTATAAATTCATTATAATTATTATATAAAATATTTACACTTAATAATATTTTAAATGTTTTATATATTAAATTTAAAAATATATTTTATTTATTGCCTAATTTTTATATTATTTTTTAATTAAATAATTTTATTTATTATTATTTTTTTTAATTTAATATAATTTTTTATTTTAAAATTATATTAATTTTATTTATTATATATATAAAATTTATATTAAAACTATTATTTTTCATAAAATTAATTAAATTATTAAAAAAATAAATAATATTAATATATATTTATATATTTTTTTAAAAAAGAAATATTTAATTATAATAATATAAATATAAATAATTATTTTAATTTCCAATATAATAATATTATTGTAATAATATTTAAATATATTTAAAATAAATATAAAAAAAATATATCTAAAATATATTATTTAATATTAATTGTTTTAATTAATAATATACTAATATTTAATTTATATTTTTTAAAAATAAATTTTAAATATAATAAATATTAATATATATAATTAATATTATAATTATTAATTTTATATATGTAATTAAAAAAAAAATATTAAAATAAAATAATCTAAAAAAAATATTTTTTAAAAATAAAAATTTAATTATTTTTATTTTTTCATTAATATATATATATTTCTATTTATTTTTATTTTTACCATATTTATTATAATATTACCTAATTATTAATTTATAAATATTTTAAATATAATAAATAATAAATATAAATATTAAATAAAAATATATTAATATAAATATATAATTTCTTAAAAAAAATATTATTATAAAATATATTTAAAATATATTATTAAGCATAATTTTAATTATTCAAATTTTTATTAATAAATAATTTATTTTTATAATTAAAATTTATCTCTATTTTAAAATTAAATAAATTTTAATACAATATTATATATATAAAAAATCAATAAAAATATTTGGTAATAAAATTTAAATTATTTTTTTAGATAAATTTAATTTATTTTAATTATTTTTTAAAATTCTAAATTTACATATGTAAACCACTTAGGCAATATCATCTTTCAAATGTTATCAATATTTTTTCGGATGCATGCCAAAATAACATATCCAGCCTTGTTTGTGCCCTGTTGCTATGTGAAAGAACATCCAATCCACAATTAGGTGGCAAGATTAAACAAAATGATATGAGAACAAATTCTTGGCCAACAATTTAAGCTCAACAGGCGTTGATATGCTAAAATCAGCAGAAAATCTCTTCGAACTGGTTTTATGTAAGAAGTGCCATGCGTAAAAAATTAATGTTTGAATATTTTTGAAGCCCCGAAGCATCGGACTTCCATGTAATACGGCTCCCATAGTCTTTGTGGAGCTTTTCTATGTACAAGAAGACCAACGTCAGGAGCTCGGTCTGAGCAACCTGCCACAGCCACTTCGAAGACTAATTCGATGATTTTATGCCAAAAACCAAAACACCCAAAACGGCCAATCCCTGGTCTAATTATTCCATCGAAACACATCTTCAAAAGATCTGATCCTCTGTGCCACACAGACTAACAGTTACTGGCAAAACAAGGAAAAGAGATCGCAGTGTCGCTTTAACGGGCGTCGCTTTCGAAGGAGCGCTCCAAGCACTGCAAACTTGCTGAACGCTTGCTTGAAGAGCCGGACGCTAATGAAAAAAGAAACTTCTTCGACTCTTATGAGGAGAATTGAGGAGATGATCATTAAACAACCAAAAATACAACTATTAATCTCTAGTCTAAGAGGATGGATTCTGGCGAATCAAAATGGCAAGACACTGATCGAAAAACATTCTCAGACTTCAAACACTGACAAGACAGAGAAGATCCGAAAAGGACATGTCACTCATATGACACCAACAACAAGGCCGGCCTTCTTTTCAGCCATACCAGGAAACTTCAAAAAATGCAAAACGCCTCCTGACAGTCCGTCTGGCAAGACTCGGTCCCAAATTCACAAAGCCGGGCTTCCTGAAGCGGGTTGCAGTTTCGCGGCTTCGCGACGTTTGACGATGTCAAGGACATAGACGGAGTGACCACTCTTGCTCACATTCATTCTCATTTTACATTATTTTACCACAGTCATGCGAATATTCGTTTCGAGTCTCAAGCAACAGGTATTTGACAATCTTAGCACCCACAAAAATGAAAGAAACCTAAAAATAGCAGCAAGTTGTGGGAAGTGTAGTAGTCAAACATTTTTGAAACAATTTAAAAGGCCTCCATCACCTTTTCAGACTGGGCCTGTCGCAACAGGAGAGGGATGATCTGGATGCTATGATTCCATGGTTCCACGCTGCAAACGCGCTGCACCATGCGGCGGCTGTAGTTTGGATGAAGCAACAACTGCCCAACTAAATTTGGAAATCGGGGCCATAAATTCTTTTTGTCTCCACAACACATGCTTGAGACAGTCTGCATGGCTGCGATTCTCTACACTCAGCCGGACGAAACGGAGAATATAAGGGAATACATTTTCTTGCTGTTTGACTGGAGACACGGTGGTGGTGCTGCTGGACTGGGGGCCGGTGGCTGTGACAGTGCTTCATCTGGGGGTGGTGGCGGAGGTGGTGGTGGGGGTGGAGGGAAGAGGTGGGTGGCTTCCACGACGGAAACTATTTCATCTGCCACCCTCTCGGGTTCAGCCATCTGTCTGTCGTCTATGTGCACGAGGCTTTTTTTGAGCACATAAAGATTCTGAGACCGGCCTGCTGGATCTGGTGGTTGAGGAGGCAAAGTAGAGCTGAGCCGAATGGGGATGATTGTCATCTCACGTTCATGTGCGAATTCCAACTCACGAAAGGTCTCGTAGCCAACCTTTCATGCAAAATTTTACAAAATGAAGCCATCGGAAGCCTTTTTCAACAACTTTCCAATCAGCTCTACTCTATTTTCATTGCGGGGAGAAGAATGTTAGAAACAATTAATACTTTCCAAATATTTTTCTTGGAAAAATCATGTGCAATCACCAAGATCAGCAGAGCAACGCCGGTGTATGCACCATATTCACTGGTACAAAAGGCTACCAAAGCCTTGGCTTCAGCCAAGCCAAAGCGAGTCATCTCTCCAAAGTTTTGCCTAGGACGTGCTGACATATCACGCCACACTCCAAATCACTTCGACAAGTTCTTTGCCATTTACTTTCTGTTGGCCTATGTTGGTTTCACGTCTCAATCTTCTGCGATCTGCACTTACCCGTGGTGGTTACCCCAGCCCCATAAGCCCCAGGCCAAAAGTGCCCGCAGGTGAAAATGGCAAGGCAATGGTCACCTCAAGCTGCTCACCCTTTGAGCAAATCCGCGGCGCAGTACATCTTTCTGTCTCCTTTTAACAAAAAGGCAGTGCAATGTTGTTCTCGGAAAGCCTTTGAGCGTTCACTAAAAATGTTCAAGATCTCATCTTCTGTATTGAGCCTGCGCCAAGGAGGACTGCGCATATTGCAGTCATGGTCTCTAGATGTCTCTAGATTGTCTATCCAAGCTGAGCAGCAAAGAGCCGGCGGAAGGCTTGCTCCACCATGTCCGGGGGATTCCGAACTTGTCCTCATGGTAGATGTAAAAAAGAAGAGATGAAGAGATGAAAAGGATTCGAATATATTCGAATGCAATTATTTCATTCTGGTGTTGAGCGCATGTCTTGCCAAGGGTAACCAACTTTCGACCTCCCTTCAGCCTCCAGCCTCATGCGTCGTTTTTTGTTACACTGCTCAAAACATGTTGCATCGACAAACATTTGAGCTGCTCTGGTCCTGAATAAGCTGCTTTGGTGGGAAATTGAAAGCTGCCATCATTCACCGGGAGCAACGGAAACCTGCAACATCTCAACAACATCTCAAGAACCATGGCCAAACACAACGGGAAAGGAAATTGTATTCATCTCCCTACCATCTTCCCTGTACCCCTTGTAATTTTGCAGCCTCAAGGTTTTTAAATCAAAAACTTCGAAGGAGCACATTTTGAGGCAAAAACCTCAATTTCGAATCATTTTGACTGATTGGCCCAACAGCATACATGTTGTTCAACATTTTGTTTTTTGGCTACGTTTTAGCAGTGTCTATCTTCATATTCTTGGACTCTACCCTTTGCAAATGAACTCTATACCGGCACGCTGACGCCAATGAGGATTTACCACAGCATGTTTGTACTTGCACAGTAAGTTCAGCACTTGCACAGAAGCTTTTATGCCAAGAAGGATCAGCCGCTTTTTACACTGTCCGAATTCTTGCTCGCATTTTATGTCGCACCTGCCTTTATGAATGTCTTTACAGGGGTGCATCTCCAAAGGTGTCTTTACCAGAGTGTCTTTACAGGTTCCAAGCTGGTCAAAAACAGCAAGAACCAAACATCCTCCACAGCACTTACAACCCCATGGACTTAACACATCTTAACACCCTGACAGCCACAGTTTTTAAGCCAACGTTCACAGAAATCCTTGACCTTCGCAAAACTGCGACAAAGCCATGGACGTAACACAACCCAACCCCAACACCCAGGGCTCAACCCTCGCTGAAATTGATGATCGAAGTGAGGCGTCGCAAATTTGAAGTTGTGGCGCTGGCATCCTGGCCGAGGCACTGTAGTCGTTGAAGTTCCAGAAGTTGCTGTGTGAACTTGTCATCAAAGTAGACACCTGGTGCGTGCTTCAACTTCAACCACACGATCTTTTTTTCAGTTTTTTTGCAACAGATCCGTTTTCATCTTTCAAAATTGCTCCAAAATTGCTCCCCTCTCTAAAGATCTTTCAACTAAACTTTGAACCCATGCATGTCACAAGTACTGAAAACGCATGGAAAGGCTACAATTCTCTCTGAAAATCTCGGATTGAGAAAGATCTTTCACGACACAAAAATACTCCGTCCGTGATCGTTTTGATGTGTTTTGATGTTTTTCATGTCATTCTTTGTTTCCACTTTTCAAGGCGCCCTTGGTGAGCAGCACCAAAGCAGAGGTCCCGCGGCACTCGAGCAAATTCTCATCGCGCAGCACATGCACTTGAAGCCTGGAGGACCACAACGTTGCAAAGCAATGAGGATCAATGAAGCTTCGTTGTTTCATGTTGTTTCACCCATGAAGTTAAAGACCGCAAACACACCTTTTCACTTTCCTTAAAATCCGAACTTCAAATTAATGAAGAAGTCGACTCAATAATGCTGATGGGAAAGTCGACAATATCTCACTATCTGCACTTCATGACAAGTCAACAATTCAAAGGAAACCCTATCAATCCATCAAAACAAACCTTGAAAGTCAAGTTCAAAATGACTCAACAAAACACAGAAATTCAAAAACGCAACGCCCGTCAACGCGTCAATAAGTTCTTCAGTTGTTCATGATTTACTATGATTTCCTGAAGCAACGGGAACACGTCCGCTGTGCTTTTTTGAATCTGACAAGTGGTTGAACGTCGGTAACAACCGAACTGTGAGCCATCACAAGTGTGTAAATTCCAGGAATCATCTTGACCAAGAAAAAGGGATCCTGTCGAAACGCCCAGAAACAGAAGAACGCGTTGGACCAGCTGCTGCAACACCAGTGCCTCCGTGGAAAGGGTCAAAAACTGTCTTACCCGAAGCCAAAAGTTTTTGCCTAGACTATCCTAGACTGATTCATCTGGTTCTGGTTGAAAGGCTTGGTTGAGCGCTGGAGGCTTTCTCCCGAGCAGCACGCAGCCGTCTCAATTTGGTTCAATGCTTCTGTGTTTTTAAACTTTCCATGTCATGTCTGTGGGCCCTCAAGAATCATGCGCCGCGTATTGGGTAATCGAGTAATCTTCTGCTAAAGTGAAACGTCTGAATCGCCTGAGTTGTGGCCGAAAGGTGATATGGTTCTGACACGTTCTAAGCAGGGCCACAGTCAGCACTGCAAGTCACTGCACGAATATCTGGTCGGCTTTATGCTAGCTTAAAGGTTTTCTTCCGTTGCAAACTTGCCCAGTGACGGTTCACTTCAGGTCGGCTTTGGTTGTGTTCTATTGGACAATTTGAACTGACTCAAACATTGAAACGGCGACGCCCGTCTCACTTCAAAAATATTTTACTACTCAGTTTCGGCTGACTACATCTAATTACTTCCGAATTTTCTCAGTTCGTTTCATTTGTCAAAAAGTTAAAACGTCGAGATGCCGTCGAGTGCGCTTCGGGCTCCTCACTGGCGCACACAAAGATTCGCGCCTCGGAAGGAGAAAACGAAAACATCCGACGATAGTTCGAAAAAAAAACAACATGTCCCAACACTTTGCATCCTGGAAAAACGATGAAGCCAACATCTTGGGGCATGCGCGGTGTTTAGAATGCAGGAAAACAATTCTGGACATGCAAAGCATACTCTCTGCTGACAAGCGCAAGAATCTGCCACGGCTCTTGCCGTACAGAAAAGTGTGTGCTTTGATATGTTCCCCGGCAATGAAAACACACTCACACCCTGAGCTTAACTCAACACTTGAGATTTGTGTCAAAATTTCAATACAGGCAAAGAGGCAAACACGCGCGTTTCCACGTTCCGTGAACATGCATCGCAGGCGCATTACATTCAGAAACTTTAAACTCCAGCCAGTTATACAAAAAACAAACCAAAATACGCAACAGTCTGAAACACCTCCTGACCGTCTCAAAACCACATCCGACCAAATGAACCAAATGTAATCTTCATTCCCGGCCTTGCTCGCTGTGGAGATGAGCATGTAGGGCGCGGGCGGCACGTTTGAACTTGCCCTTTTTCTAGAGATGCTCTGCACAGTCTCGGCCAAATTCAACATCGCAAGTTCTTGGGTCTTCACACTGTCCTTGGAGAATTGCTCAAGATTCATCACGTACTGGTCAATTCGACACTGTTGATGCATGCGCAGCTTAGCATATTTTCCGTCATTACCAGCTTTACTATGCTTTACTCATCGCATATCGAAATGAAACTTTGGACAATCACGTTTTGCTCAGTCACGTTCCGGTTGAGGATGTTCCACGAGACTTTCGTCTCACTCTTCATCCCGCTGATGTGTTCGTAGGCAGCTCGTAAAGTCTCGGAGGAGACTTGGAGGTGTTCGAAGAAATCCCCTTGAAACGAAGAGCAAACTTGCTCGCACGTCTGCAGCCCATCCTCACCTCATCATCAAAATTGAAACCCTCTCATATTATGCTATATGCAGTATATGCATCTATATGTTACATTTCCAAACGTGATTCAAAGCAGTAGCCGAAATGATGGCAGATCCGGAAGCCAAGACACTGAAAGTAAATCCGTCGATTAGAAGAGGTACAAGTGGAACATTGTGCAGGAAGGCTGTCGCAAGCTCAGCTACACACCACGGCCTCTGGAAATACTCCTCATCAAAACGACCTTTGTGAGGAATTCAACACATTCCTTGAGAAAAAAACCTGAAAGCCAAGAACACAAAAACAAACGGAGGGACATATGAAAACTGAACAAGGCCAAAATTCCCACTGAACCTATCGAAGCAGGTCTGTTCAATGCCACAATGAGAAGTCGCAGGGTTTCCATACCAAAAGTGCTGATTTTTTTCACCACCCCATTGAGAATACTGAGCCACATCACACTGGCACATGTTTATCAATTTCTACCCATGTCTGTCCTGAGAAATCACAGGCACGAAGCATTTGGTCTGATATCGAATGATGTCCACCAAACTTGTGACCTCTTCAAGTCGATCCTTAGGTAACAGCCGGTAACAGCTGTAACCATGAGCACGTTGGACAACTCAAGTCTTTGGATATCTGAGACGTGGACTGAATCTAGAAAGATCTGCCACCTGCAAGAAAGTTATATCACAGCAAGAAAAACAGTGAAAGATTTGCCGGCAGATCTGGTTTCAGACTAAGCGTTGAGAAGAAAACTGTTTGAACATCTCACCTGAACTGCTTCTTGTGCTCTTGGAGGACTATGGTCAGCAGCCGACAGAGTGCACCAGCAGCTGCTTTGTGATGACTCAAAAACATGGCAAAACCCGTGTCCTGCTCAGTTGAAGAAACGGAAGTCATTTGAAGTCATTGAGGCCAGACCATTTTGGGATCACAAATGGTTCGAAACATTGCTTCCTAAGCACGTTTTGAACATGTCAGTCCTTCCTCCAGAAGCGCCAAAGTAGGCCGGCAACGGCCACTGCAGTTACCACCGGCAACCCCAGCACCAAGATGGCTAGAAGTAGGGAAAGCAGCGAGGAACTGTTATCATCTTCCAGAATCAGCAGCGGACTTACCAAGTTCAAGAGCAACAGAGTCCCTGCTGATAGAAAAAGGTCATGATAACTTGCTGCAGCGTATCTCCTCGGGTGATCGCTCTCTCAATATTTGAAAACGTCCACAGGGTATTCTTTTTCACTGACACATGAATGTAATCTATGACATCAAATTCAAATGAATTCAAATGACATCAATATGACATCAATATCATAGCCACACATTTGCTATGAATTCAATGGCAGGCTTGGTTCCATCGCAGTGAACCGAAAAGGTGGACAGACAGCTGACCAGGATCAGGATGATCAGGTCATCTCAAAATTTGCTCCAAAATGTCCCCTGGCCCTAACTTTTCTTGGACCAGGTCTGCAATCTCGATTCAAATGTGTGAAGATCGACTTCAGTTGCAAACTTGGAGCTTGGGGTCAAGGCCTACTGTTCGGCTTATGATCAGCACTCAATGTCTATACCTGATGTACATCTTGATCATTCTTCATCATCATAATCTCCAATTTCAGCTAAGTCTCCATGGCCAAAGAAGACAAAGCGAAGTTTGTTTCCACCAGAGGACAGCGCACATCAGCGTCAGCTGCATGACTGGAAAACTGACCATGGCAATGGGCACTAAGGCCACCGATAAGTTCGTCACGGCCAGTGAAAGGCCATAGTAATAACCTGACACAAAAAGAATCAAAAAGAGACATAGACAGAACATGACAGGACATCATCAATACACAGAACTGTGCCGCCTTCTTTTTTCCAGGCCAGGCACTCATCTGTTTCCATGTGCTGTGCTGTACTGAAGCTGCAGTCAGCAAAGCGCTGACCACAAAACCAAACAGCACATTTATGTCGAAACAGTTTCTGGCTGAAGGCCTTCCATGAGTTTCCATAGAGGCTCAGCAGCACGGTGCAGGATGGAGAGCTCAAAAAGTCGAGCCAGGCCCCATAGGATAAGGCTGTGCAAGCGAGGTTCGAAATTGCCCTCCTTCAGTGCCAGCAAGTTGTTGGTGCCGTACTCCAGTGCAAGAACATAGCCCATGTTTGCCCACACAATGTCGAAGAGCAGCACCTAGGTTGACATGGGCCCAAAGTAGACGGGTACGTTGACGAAAGGGTTTGAAGTCTTGGCAGAAATCGGTGTACCCACATTCGGTTGACTTATGGCTTATATATAGAAGGTGACGAATAGGAGGCGCCAACCACAACCGAGAGGTGTGAGGGTTTTCCAAAGCCACAGGGATACCCAAGTCGACACACATGCGAAAACCTTTGCCGAGAACTTCATCAACGAATTGCCAACCTTAACCTTCAACTTATCTTTATCACTCAGGCCCGGAAGTCCCAGAAGGAATTCATGGTCATCACGAAGTGGCCCCGGGCCTTTCCCATCATGCCGCCGTGCCCTGCTCCAGCTGCTACAGGGGGTACCCAACCAAACATATTTGACCCGATTGGTTAAGAGCAAAATCGAAGATCTCTTTTTGAATGCGGGGCAAAGTGAGGTCAAATTGGGGTCCGTGACAGGTATCCACTTCCACGCACAAAACTTGTTTTAGCCGCTGTTGGATGGCTTTGGAGAAATGTCCACTGCCACTGAAGATCTCGAGGCCAATGCCTAGACCTTGTACCCGGCGGCATCTGCGAAAATCTTTTCGATCCACTTCTGCGCTGAGGGCCGCCTTCTTTTGGTCGGCGCTGAGGCTGGTGTATAGACCTGTGCCGCACGGCCCCCGTTGCTGCACCGCCGCACTGACTTGATCACGGACCAGCGGCCTCGTTTCTGCACCTCGGTGAGTGTGCGCAGGCCACTGAGCACATCGGTCGACGCGCTTCCGTGGCGCAGCTGGCGCACACAATTGATTCCGAGGCTGACATACTGCAGGTCTGACACCACCTTGTTGAATAGGGTGGTGCCTTGGTGCAGGGGGAAACCAAACACTATCTTGTGGGGCTCCTTGTCCTCCAGGTAGGTTGTCAGCATCTCGCCGAAGCCTGCCATGTAGGGCTGATCCACGATCACGGCCTCGTCGCTTTCCCCCACCTTGACTTTGGGCACGGGCTTGCCGTCGGCGTTGTTCTCCACGGTCATGGATTGGCCCTGGAGTTTCTGTGAGTTCAGGATGATGATCCAATTGTCGCTCATCTTCGAAGGAGGCACCACATCTTGGCGCCTGAGTTTCAGGGCTTCCCCTGGGCGGCAACGAGTTGCCCAAATGGTGAGCAACCACATCGCCACTGCTGCGTTCTCGTCCCAGACATTCCGGACGATCACGCATAACATTGGCCATGGGAGTGGTGGCCTCCCTTGGGGCGGCTCGAGCTTCCGGAACCCCTTCATTGCATCCTTGGCCTTGACCAGAATGTTCATCTTGTCGACATCGGTGCGGTAGAACTTGGTGGCCGCCAGAAGAGTCGATGCATCTGAGGGGTCCTGGCCGTCGAAGAACATCTTGTTGATGAAGTTGGCCAGGGCGTGGTCCAGCTTGGGCACATCTGTGATTGGCATGCGCCTCTCGTGGGTCCACATGGAAGAACAAGGTGTTTCTTCCCGAGATTTTTCTGGGACCTAGCCAAATGTTGGAGTAACCAGACCACCGACCTTCCCTCGAGGATGGGGATTGCCCCGGGTCGCTCCCACAGGGCCCCGTCAACTTGACGCCAATCTTCCCCAATGAAAGCCAAAGGCACTTCCATGGGGTCGCCAGCACCAACACTTGACAGGTCTGAGGCAGCTAACTTCAAGTCCTCCACATCCACCAAGTCGAAGGTCTCGACGAATGATCTCGTTCTCCTCCGAGTCTGAAAACCTCCACCGATCACTGCGTTTCCCCAATGCTTTGACGTCTTCTTTCTTCCTCTCCGTGCTGACGATGCCACGTCCTTGGAGAGAGGCATCCGTGGCATGGACACTTTCCGACCAGTCGGCCGCAAGGTCTCTCCGGATTAAGCAGACCAGACTGGCCGCCCAGAAGAGCTCCCTTTTTACTTCAGGCCAAAGCGCAGCCTCTTGCTCATAGTGTTTTCGCATGAACACGTAACAGGCCTGGAATACCGACAAAAAGCCACGTTGGAGGAGTCCAGCAAAAGTGAAGTGACCCATGAGCTTTTCCAACTAACAGTCGCCCAGAACCTCGTCCAACCTCCGCCAACTTCAAAGCTGCCAAACGCAGCTTCCACATCCTCTTGTGAGTGAGAGCCACAAACTGGGCGACCAGCCGTGAACAACCAGCCTAGCGTCTCGAGGCCCTGAGCAGCTTCGACATCAGGAGTGGGGAGTCCATGCAAATTGAGGGCCTCTTCCATCAACTCAGCCAACTCTTTTGTGCTGCCAGGCTTTTGTGAAATGGCCACGTAGTTGTCCACGTACTGGCAATGGATGTGGTCACGCATTTGTGGCACCGCGGCTCGATCATAGCACCGCTGTCCTGGCTGCATATAGGGGTGATTCAACTGTCCATTGGTGTGCCATCTGACACACCCATAGAGCATGTGTCCATCCCATCGGCACCACCCGCAGACAGGGGTAAACACATCCACGTTTGCCCTCGATCTTGTCCTGGACGCCCACATCCTGAGCCTTCACCCGTGGCAGGGCGAAGTACGGCCGGAACGCTTCCGGCAATTCCAAATGGTAGAAAGCATCAGCTTGCAAAGGTTGAGCCCGTTGTGAGCTGCACCTTGTCTGGAGTTTCAAAGTGCATGTTGGCCAGCCTTGCATCAATGACCAACCTCTGTTTCCCACTCTTCTTCCACACGGCGAATGCCCCCACCTCACCAATGAAGCCCTCCTTGTGCTCGATCAACCCCGCCTCGGACAGCCTCCGACAGAAGGCAGCATACCCCCGCGGGTTTTGCCTCAGGAGGGGGTCCATGCCACAGTTCGCCTTCCTGCCAGCGATCACCTCCTCAGCCGACACCTTGGACATCAGCCGACAAAGAACATTCTCAGCCTCCTCCTCAAAGACCAATGATAGCGGGGCCGCCACCGACCCCTTCGGAGGGAGCGACACCAGGTCTACATTCATCGGAGCCAGGTGCACAGGACCACACGTGTACCCGGAGTTGGTGCGGAGCTTGCCAAGGGCTCCCTCAACAGTGATGCCATCAGGCGGTTTACCGGCATCCAAAACTGCTTGGCGCAACGTGCCCAGGCTGATTTTTTGGCTTAAGGTGGGTCGAAGGGGGTCACCAAAACTTCCCTGATCATCACCACCAATCATGCTGTTGAGTGAGATAACAATATCCCTAACCCACTCGTCCACATGATGCTTCTCCTCAATCCTCCTCACCACAGCCCGGGGCAAAGACTTTACCTTCCCGTCCAACTCCTTGACCAACGGCACGGGGAAAGGGAAAAGACCCCGTTGCCGAACACCCGCCATCATTAGATTAAAGAAAAATCCAGTAAAAAGGATCCCTTGCCCGAGAACTCCACCAGCACGTAGTTAAGCACCCGCCAGCAGGACCTCGAAGCCAAGGATCACCAAGAGGGCAGGGGTCCAGTGCACCCTGCCCGTCACCAGTCACTTACTTGCGGCTGCCCGTTCTTCTCGGGCTTTTCGAACCTGCCGCTTCCCCCTCGACTTCCTTGGCCACATAATCCAAGAGAGAAGGAGCAACCATGGTATCGCCAAACTCCTTGTAACCTCCAGCAAAGATGTTGGCCTCATAGTTTTGCATGGAGGACATGTAGTCGTTCTTCTTGTCTGACTTGGAACCACCTTTTCCTCCCCCAGGTCCTCGCTCGCTGTAGACATATTCAATGAGTTGCAGCCTCCGAAATGCCAACTCGGCACCGGCCAGATTTGACAAGTCCAAGCCGTCGTAACGCCCCAGTTTATCGATGATCTTCATAAAGGTTCTCGTGTTCCGCCACCCCCCAACGATCAGTCTGGGGGGGGGGGGAGTGAGTGATTCTGCACCCACCACCGATGATGATCCATCGGCCCACCATTGCGCCGATTGAGGAAGCGCGCACACCACTGGCTTGTTCTTGGGCCCGGAACGCCCCAGTCATCCAACTTCTCCTCCACGACCTCTTTGGAAACGTCCCGCCATTGCCGTTCTTCTCGATTGAGTCCTTGGAAAGCCAACCCCAAGAGACGAGCATCTGCGGATGCCTCCTTGCCCTTGAACTTCTCCACCTCGCTCTGCTTCATCTGCCTCAAGAGGAAGGCTCCATCGGGATCATTCTTGATGGCAACTGCATCGTGGATCACCTCCGTTCCATCGTCCACCAACCAATTCCACCCTTACCCAAACATCATCAGCCCCAGCTGGTTGGGGCACAGCTGCCACCACAGGAGGCCCCCGACAACTCCTGGAGCAACGGCCATCGCCATCGCAGCTTGGCGTGCATCTCGACGAAGTTGCACCATCATCTGAGCATCTGGTAGTTGGCGAAATCGATAGGTATTCTGTGGCCCCAAACCAGCCGGAAGAGCCCCACCTCCTTGCTGCCACCCTGAACGTCTGCAGGTCGTCGTTCTCCAAGCTGATCTGTTCCGCGTAGGTCTCAAAGTCAGGGGTGAGAACTATGTGATAACCCTGCCCACATGAGCAGCCGGGATGTACCGTTCATGGAACAAATCAGGTGGGGGAACATCATGCAACAGGAACACCCGGGTCCCTTCCGCCAGAGCCATCAGATCCTGTAAGTCCTACGAGAGCGAATCAGCTGCAACTGCTGTTGTGCCAGTAGACGCTGATCACCCTCCTCGCCTTCAATCTCCAAGCCCTTCACGGTCTCCTTGGAAGTTGCCCTCGTGGTAGAACACGGCAAAGGTGCTACATGTAATCGCCGAACCAACCACAGGATCCCGTTCACCAAGTAGCCCGTGCCCAAAGCCAGACCAGCGAGCACCCCCAGGAAGATCTTGATGGTCTCCCACGTCCAGCTTGAAGATGGACTCGAAGCCACAACCTCACAGGTGCAATTGCAGTGGCACTCGGATGGGGCTCCTTTAGGTAGTTCCCCAACCCAAGCAGTGAAGGAAGCAATCGCCAAGGTCACCCAGCCCACGGCGTCGACCATGGGAGACCACCGGAGGAATGCTTTTCACTTGAGCATATTGCCCGCGGCCCTTCATTAAATTGGCTTTACAAACACCTGGAAACCAGACATATGAAGACATCTGAAGATGGACAGACCTCAAAATCCATGTCGTGAACTTATCGAATCATAGCGAATCTTGGTATCCTTGGTATCAGTTTCGGCAGATCTCATGCGTTGCATTTAACCTTTTATCTTTCGGACCTTGGTGTCCTGGCGGCATAGAGAAGCCAGAAACCATGGCAGCTTTGGCAGCCAAGACACGATCAGGTCGGAAGAGTAGAGTTTCTCGCCTAGTCACAGCCGGGAGGCAAAATGAACTTCCAAGTATGACAAAAACCCTCTTGGCCTACTGAGTCACTGATATGTCGTCTCCTTGTCTGGTCTCTCTGACCAAAGACCAAAACAATTACGGACAACATCACGAATACCTTCGGCTCGCATGGGAAACAGCCTCTTGTTGCCAGTAATTTTCAAGAACTTTCAAACTGAACTACCCATCCCAAAACGCCAAAACACGCCCAAACTGTGTTTCTTCACACATAGGTGTCTCTGCAAGTCACAAGCGTCGACCTTTTGCAAACCATCATGTGATCTCAGCCACCTTGCTCCGACACTGAAGGAGCAATGTGTGCAGAACTGACAAAGCAAACTGCATGTAAGGCCTGCTTAAGGCAGAGGTGCCAGGAAACAAAACAAACACTTCTCCTTCGCAGGTTCATGATGGCTTGTGAGCCCCAGCAACGATGACCCAAAGAAACATGGAAACACAGACCTGGAAATGTTCGCCGGACCATAAACATTGTGTTTGACAAGCTATCAAGCATTGATCCCAATAGGCACAGTATCTCATCGTAACCGTCATAACTTACACTTGCCATCAAACATGCACATCCAGGGCATTGCTGATTACCGTTTTGAAACCAGCAGTTGATGAACCATCAGCACCCATAGAATCACAACACGACTGTCTTCCATTGGCTCCTCACTGAACTAGACAATATATGTTTCATGTTAAACGTCTCCTGCTCGGTCAACGAAGCAAACCTGGATCCACTATTAAATAGGCTCAGTCCAAGCAATTCCCCATCAACACTCTTAGCAATCACGGTTAAACTCACTGCCAACCCTAACATTGATTGTGCGCAATATTCTTGCGGGCTAATTCACCGTGGTCGGATACGGGCAGTATGATGCTTATTGTAGCGTGTGGCTAATTCAACTCCAGGCACCGAGGGTATTTCCAGGTGCAAAAGGCAATCCCAGAGATTGTCAGCACAGGATACGTTAGAATCCCCGCTCCGCAAAGCAGCACCAATGTCCTCCGGTGGCAAACAACTGCGAGTAAAATCGCAGTTGAATCTTGACCTCTGCCCATCTCGAAATATTTGCAGCTTTCAGATGCTTTCAGTTACACTTGGACAGGATTAATGGCTGGGAGAGGACAGTTGCTTTCACTACAACTAGTGACCTTGGCAGTGAAGGAAACAACTGAGTTGACTCCGGCGTTGCCGAAGTCCTGAGAACAGAAATCCCAAAGCAACAGAAATCCCAAAAAGATTGGTCAATTTGATTTGGCAACAGGTAAGTTCGGCAAGTCGTTTTCAGTCACCTCTGAGCCATCGGTCCTGTGCTCGTCAGTCCAACAGATGATTTCTGGGCGCTCTTGCATGGTCCATCGTCCGTTCGGATTCTCACGGCATTGTATTTCTAAATCAAACTCAGTTGTGGAATCAATTCTCTCATCCAAGTTCTGATCCAAGAAGCTGTGACCAATGACATCATGAGCATCCCATGGAGGCCCAAGAAGCCCGAGAAGCGGAGCTTCATCGGAACCCGAAGGAGTTGACAAAGTTGGTAGCACAGCAAAGTCAGCCCAAAGAAAAACGGATATGCCAAGAGTTGCGCCGAATATTCAGATATTGCTGATGTGGTGTTCCTTACTGCGCCACGGGAAACATACATGAACAGTCTGGAATTTTCCTGGGCACTTTGGTACTCGGAGTTGAAGACAGTGAGAGAAGTCTTTCGAAACGACTTACGGATTTACGGTTCATGTTTATCTTATGCTACAATCTTCCTCGCAATATCCCTCTCTCTAATCAAAACCAGCGCTCATGAGCTTTGCCTGAATACCTCAAACTCAGAAAACCGTTTGCCAAACATGTACAATTTCATACAATTTCCACAGAAGAACAGACACGGAGATGCTTTCAAGCAATGTCTTCACTATTGCTGTAGATGATCATGGTCGCGTTTCGTCCGCCGAGTCTCACAAAGCAAGAAAATCGTATTTGTTCGACATCGAAGGAGAAAACGTCCACAATTTTCAGCAAAGTTTTCACGGGCTCACGGAGATCCAAGGAGAAGTGCGAAATCGCAGCGATGGCCTGGTCGAATCTGGTCGACAGGTTCATCATGGTTCATCATGGTTCATCGTTCATTTCCATAGCTTTGCTCGTGTTCAAGCAATCAAACCATATCAAACCCAGGCCATATATGTCGCACGTAATGACAGCCGTACACAGTGTGCGATGGCAAGGACGAAGTTGTGTCGTAAACTCTGTCTTTCAACTGCAGCAATCGCTGTCACAAAAATTGATCTTTGCCTCTTTCCACATCATTTCAATTCATTTCGCGTCTTCACTTCGCTCTCTCACGCCCTTTCCTCACATGATGTGAAAATATGTGAAATGTTCAGTTTTCATCAGTTTTCGCCTGGAGACAAACGTGAACACGTTGACATAATTTTGTGAACTGATGTGTAGTCAGAATAGAGCAAGAACAAATAACAAGACATCTCCAGCTTTGCAAAATTGTGCGATCTACTGACTTGCCTCTACCGGACTCCATCAACTACCGAAGTCAAGAACAGTTTGATCTTCCAGGCACAATCAGCAGCACTATGCTGTAAAAGGCTGGTGTAATGGCCTGGGTTGCAGGAGCAAGGCAGAAAAAAAATACCAGATGTCTATCATGACAGTCCTGATGAGGTGATCGAAGTGGTGGAAATGGTGTCGGTGATCTGCAACAACGATCTCTGTCTCTCGGACACGCTCACAAAATCTCACGAAAAATATCACGAAATATGCGGTAATGGTTTCACATGTTTCAGGGGCCCTAGTCCTAATCTATCCGAATCATCCTTAAAGATTCATCGCAATGGGAAGTGGAAAATCAAGTTCAAGGCGCCGTGCAGGGAGCGCAGCTGCCATCCGCCAGCACATATGTCCCGAACTCGCAACTGCCACAGCCACGTCCCACACGACCTGCTAAGCAGCTGCCAGGCTCTCCTTGTGGACAATGCGCCTCACAAGAAGATGCAGCACATTAAACTTTAAACATGCTCTTAACATGCTCTAAACACGCTCTAAACATAAGGCCTCACTCCAAACCCCCGCAACGACTACAAGGGCAACAACCTGTCCTCACTCTCACCAAACGCCTGGCTTCCACAAAACAAGGTGGTCAGTGAGCATCGACCGTTTACTTTACAATGGCACCAGCCCACTGACATCTGACAACTCACAGGATAGATCGGAATAGAGGTTGGGGTTGGAAGGGGCGACGGGCAAACAGTGCGCAAATATGTCCCTGAAGGACCAGCGCAACCTCAACCACACACATGCGGAATTACCAGTACCCTGGACTGCTGGCAGTACTATACATTTTGCAGTGCGAGGAGTAGGGCATCCAGTGGGACACTCTGTTACTGCATGGCACCAGTCTTTGTTACGATCGGACCCATATGCTTCCTGCTAGGCAACGCTTGGCAGCAGCAAACATGCATTTTTTTTGTTCTGCTTCTTCTTCTTCTTCCTCACCACTCCAATTCAGAATGGAACCCAAAACAAACACACTGTCAGCCCAGCACAGAGCAGCACACAACGCATCGCAATGCCACTGGAAGAACCCATAGCCAAGGCTACAAAACGCATGGACAAACCCTCCCTCCTCTGGGACCATGTTAGCGTGTCTAAACATCCTTTGCAACTTGTTGAAAGCGTTTGCCTTTTCTGCTTGACCTGCGGAGCTTGTCTGCTCAAAAGCAATTTTGACGATACAATCAAACACATGCGTCACATGCGTAACAAACATATCAGTCGAACAAAAACTGAAAAGAGACCTCCAAAGACTGTTCCCCAAAGAATATACTACAATATTGGATTTTTTGGGCGTTGTTCGGGATCGTATTTCAAGATGTTGTTTCAAGATCGTTTGAAAATTCAATTTGAAGCATGTCTCAAGCAATTTCAGGGCTGCATATATCATTGAATCTGCAACAGCCTTGCTTCAGGAATCTCGCCGTCATTATGACATAATCTTAAAAACCTACCCCTAATCGAAGAGGGCAGAACATCCAAACATCAGCTGTCGCAGTTCAATCCTAGGCACCTCCGCCTTGCAGCGAAACACTGAGAAATTTCCACTTGTTGTGTCTGCAAACATGCCTGGCGCTAGAGGCATGCTTTGATGCAAAACGATGCACCACAATGTAAAAGATTTCACTCAAACACTTTGACAGTCTGCACTTCTGGGCACTTTCACAGTGCTGCGCCTCCCTTTTGAAGAGGAGCATTTAGCCCACCATCGCACACAAGTCCATCAACACAGCGCTGGCATTTAACGCCATCCCAAAAAGCCCCAACCGAGCAAAAGCAGTCCTGCCATGAGATGAAATGTTTGCTTGAAAGATCATCCTTGTTGTTAGCCTGCTGATATCAAGACAACGAAGGTCAGTCGCAAGACTGTTGCAAAGGACTGTACTCAAAGGTGCGATGACCGTAATGACGACAGTGACACTTGTGAAATCAACGCCAATGATGAAAACAATCAAAACAATGACGATGATGACGGTGACAACAACGACGATGGCGACGATGATGATAACGGTGATGGTACATAAACAAATATATATATATATATATATGGATAGCGATAGTGATGGTGATGGTGATGATAACGATAATGATAATGCTGGTGCTAATGACGATAAAGCTAATGATGATGCTGATGATGCTGCTGATGCCCATGGTGCTGCTGCTGCTGGTGATGCTGCTCATAATGACGACGCTGATGATAATGGATGCTGCTGCTGAAGACGATGCTGCTGCCCATGCTGCCCACGCTGCTGATGAAGATGAAGATGAAGATGAAAATGAAGATGAAAGTGAAGATGAAAATGAAGATGGTGGATGCAGCTGAAGATGAAGATGAAGATGATGATGATGATGACGATGACGATGTGCTGCTGATGTTGCTTATGATGATGCTCAAGATGAAGATGATCATGTAGATGAAGATGAAGATGATGAACATGATGTTAATGATAATGGAAAATGATGGATGCAGCTGAAGATGAAGATGAAGATGAAGATGAAGATGAAGATGATGATGATGATGATGATGATGATGGTGATGACTACGAGTATCATGATGTATCATCTCGGTAACGGATGAAAAATGATGAAAATAGATTGTAACATAATGTATTGCTTTGTACTGGTAGTATCAGCGATGATCCAGTTGAGCTGCATTCTCAGTCCTGGGAAGCGCTGGCTCCTTTGATAGACGTTGTCTGATGGGCCCCACAGCTGAGACAGGTTGTGGCACCAAAATCATCTTGGTAGCGACCAACCTGCGGCAAGGCTGAAGCCACGTGACTTCGCAATGAGACGACCCAACTTGGGAAGTAGCTTAGCTCTAAGCTCTACTTTAGCTCTACTTTAGCTCTACTTCTAAGCTCTACTTCTAAGCTCTACTTCTAAGCTCTACTTCTAAGCTCTACTTCTAAGCTCTACTTCTAAGCTCTACTTCTAAGCTCTACTTCTCTCTAGCTCTAAGCTCTACTTCTAAGCTCTACTTTAGCTCTACTTCTAAGCTCTACTTCTAAGCTCTACTTCTAAGCTCTACTTCTAAGCTCTACTTCTAAGCTCTACTTCTAAGCTCTACTTCTAAGCTCTACTTCTAAGCTCTACTTCTAAGCTCTACTTCTAAGCTCTACTAGCTCTACTTCTAAGCTCTACTTCTAAGCTCTACTTCTAAGCTCTACTTCTAAGCTCTACTTCTAAGCTCTACTTCTAAGCTCTACTTCTAAGCTCTACTTCTAAGCTCTACTTCTACTTCTAAGCTCTACTTCTAAGCTCTACTTCTAAGCTCTACTTCTAAGCTCTACTTCTAAGCTCTACTTCTAAGCTCTACTTCTAAGCTCTACTTCTAAGCTCTACTTCTAAGCTCTACTTCTAAGCTCTACTTCTAAGCTCTACTTCTAAGCTCTACTTCTAAGCTCTACTTCTAAGCTCTACTTCTAAGCTCTACTTCTAAGCTCTACTTCTAAGCTCTACTTCTAAGCTCTACTTCTAAGCCCTACTTCTAAGCTCTACTTTTAAGCTCTACTTCTAAGCTCTACTTCTAAGCTCTACTCTAAGCCCTACTTCTAAGCTCTTTAGCTCTACTTCTAAGCTCTACTTCTAAGCTCTACTTCTAAGCTCTACTTCTAAGCTCTACTTCTAAGCTCTACTTCTAAGCTCTACTTCTAAGCTCTACTTCTAAGCTCTACTTCTAAGCTCTACTTCTAAGCTCTACTTCTAAGCTCTACTTCGAAGATCTACTTCTAAGCTCTACTTCTAAGCTCTACTTCTAAGCTCTACTTCTAAGCTCTACTTCTAAGCTCTACTTCTAAGCTCTACTTCTAAGCTCTACTTCTAAGCTCTACTTCTAAGCTCTACTTCTAAGCTCTACTTCTAAGCTCTACTTCAAAGCTCTACTTCAAAGCTCTACTTCAAAGCTCTACTTCTAAGCCCTACTTCCAAGCTCTACTTCTAAGCTCTACTTCTAAGCTCTTTTTCTACGCCTTAGAATTAGAGCTTAGAATTAGAGCTTAGAAGTAGAGCTTAGAAGTAGGGCTTAGAAGTAGAGCTTAGAAGTAGAGCTTAGAAGTAGAGCTTAGAAGTAGAGCTTAGAAGTAGAGCTTAGAAGTAGAGCTTAGGAGCTTAGAAGTAGAGCTTAGAAGTAGAGCTTAGAAGTGGAGCTTCGAAGCTCTACTTCTAAGCTCTACTTCTAAGCTCTACTTCTAAGCTCTACTTGTAAGCTCTACTTCTAAGCTCTACTTCTAAGCTCTACTTCTAAGCTCTACTTCTAAGCTCTACTTCTAAGCTCTACTTTAGCTCTACTTCTAAGCTCTACTTCTAAGCTCTACTTCGAAGCTCTACTTCTAAACTCTACTTTAGCTCTACTTTATCTCTACTTCTAAGCTCTACTTCTAAGCTCTACTTCTAAGCTCTACTTCTAAGTTCTACTTCTAAGCTCTACTTCTAAGCTCTACTTCTAAGCTCTACTTCTAAGCTCTACTTCTAAGCTCTACTTCTTCGCTCTACTTGTAAGCTCTACTTCTAAGCTCTACTTCTAAGCTCTACTTCTAAGCTCTACTTCTAAGCTCTACTTCTAAGCTCTACTTCTAAGCTCTACTTCTAAGCTCTACTTCTAAGCTCTACTTCTAAGCTCTACTTCTAAGCTCTACTTCTAAGCTGTACTTCTAAGCTCTACTTCTAAGCTCTACTTCTAAGCCCTAAGCTTTACCTTAGCTCTACTTTACCTCTACTTTAGCACTACTTTAGCTCTTAGCTCTACTTTAGTTTTTAGCTTTACTTTAGCTCTTAGCTCTACTTTAGCTCTACTTAGCTCTACTTCCAAGCTCTACTTCTAAGCTCTAATTCTAAGCTCTAATTCTCAAGCTCTACTTCTAAGCTCTACTTCTAAGCTCTATTTTAAGCTCTACTTCTAAGCTTACTTCCCAAGTATTCTATGCTCTACTTCCAAGCTGCCGCTCTACTTTCTAAGCTCTTAGTTTTAAGCTTACTGTTCTTAAGCTTACTATTCCCCCAGCCGCCCTACCCAGGTTTCCCTCACTCCCCTCCCCCCTCCCCCCCTCACAACTCTTGCTCCGTCCCTATCCCCCCCTGCACCCCTCCCCTCCCTCACCCCCACTCCTTCTTCTCCCCACCCCCCCCCTCTCCGCCTCGCGCGCCCTTATCCCTAGCTCTTTTAAAGCTATACTTCCAAGCTCTACTTCTAAGCTCTAATTCTATTCCAAGCTCTACTTTAAGCTCTACTTCTAAGCTCTACTTCTAAGCTCTACTTCTAAGCTCTACTTCTAAGCTCTACTTCTAAGCTCTACTTCTAAGCTCTAGTTCTAAGCTCTACTTCTAAGCTCTACTTCTAAGCTCTACTTCTAAGCTCTACTTCTAAGCTCTACTTCTAAGCTCTACTTCTAAGCTCTACTTCTAAGCTCTACTTCTAAGCTCTACTTCTAAGCTCTACTTCTAAGCTCTAGTTCTAAGCTCTACTTCTAAGCTCTACTTCTAAGCTCTACTTCTAAGCTCTACTTCTAAGCTCTACTTCTAAGCTCTACTTCTAAGCTCTACTTCTAAGCTCTACTTCTAAGCTCTACTTTAGCTCTACTTCTAGCTCTACTTCTAAGCTCTACTTCTAAGCTCTACTTCTAAGCTCTACTTCCAAGCTCTACTTCTAAGCTCTAATTCTAAGCTCTAATTCTCAAGCTCTACTTTTAAGCTCTACTTCTAAGCTCTACTTTTAAGCTCTACTTCTAAGCTCTACTTCTAAGCTCTACTTCTAAGCTCTACTTCCAAGCTCTACTTCTAAGCTCTACTTCTAAGCTCTACTTCTAAGCTCTACTTCTAAGCTCTACTTCTAAGCTCTACTTCTAAGCTCTACTTCTAAGCTCTACTTCTAAGCTCTACTTCTAAGCTCTACTTCTAAGCTCTACTTCTAAGCTCTACTTATAAGCTCTACTTCTAAGCTCTACTTCTAAGCTCTACTTCTAAGCTCTACTTCTAAGCTCTACTTCTAAGCTCTACTTCTAAGCTCTACTTCTAAGCTCTACTTCTAAGCTCTACTCTACTTTAGCTTTATTTTTAGCTCTACTTTAGCTCTTAGCTCTACTTTAGCTCTTAGCTCTACTCTAGCTCTTAGCTCTACTTTAGCTCTTAGTTCTACTTTTAGCTCTTAACTCTACTTTAGCTCTACTTTAGCTCTACTTTACCTTAGCTCTAAGCTCTACTTCAGCTCTAAGCTCTACTTTAGGTCTACTTTAGCTTAGCTCTAAGCTCTACTTTAGCTCTAATTTTACTTTTCTACTTTACCTCTAAGCTCTACTTTAGCTCTACTTTAGCTTAGCTCTAAGCTCTACTTTAGCTCTAAGCTCTACTTTAGCTCTAAGCTCTACTTTAGCTCTATTTTAGCTCTACTTTAGCTCTACTTTAGCTCTACTTTAGCTCTACTTTAGCTCTACTTTAGCTCTAAGCTCTACTTTAGCTCTAAGCTCTACTTTAGCTCTCTCCAGTTGCTAATGATTAATTTCAAGATACTTAGTGATCGCGTCCGGTGCTCCTTTCGCCTCCGGCATTGTTCCCCCGCCCACTTTCTCGTCCCTAGCAATCCACTTACTTTTAGCTCTGAGCTCTAATTTAGCTCTACTTTAGCTCCACTTGAGCTCAAAGCTCTGCTCTACTTCTAAGCTCTACTTTAGACTTCTAAGCTCTACTTCTAAGCTCTACTTCTAAGCTCTACTTCTAAGCTCTACTTCTAAGCTCTACTTTAGCTCTACTTCAGCTCTAAGCTCTACTTTAGCTCTACTTTTAGCTTTACTTTTAGCTCTATTTTAGCTCTACTTTAGCTCTACTTTAGCTCTACTTTAGCTCTAAGCTCTACCTTAGCTTTACTTTTAGCTCTACTTTTTCTCTACTTTAGCTCAACTTTAGCTCTACTTTAGCTCTAAGCACTACTTTAGCTCTACTTTTAGCTCTACTTTTAGCTCTACTTTGGCTCTACTTTGGCTCTACTTTAGCTCTACTATCTACTTTAGCTCTACTTTAGCTCTACTTTAGCTCTAAGCTCTACTTTAGCTCTACTCTTAGCTCTACTTTAGCTCTTAGCTCTAAGCTCTACTTTTTAGCTCTAGCTTAGCTCTAAGCTCTACTTTAGCTCTTAGCTCTACTTTAGCTCTTAGCTCTACGTTAGCTCTACTTTAGCTCTTAGCTCTACTTTAGCTCTACTTTAGCTCTATTTTAGCTCTAAGCTCTACTTTAGCTCTACTTTAGCTCTACTTTAGCTCTACTTTAGCTCTACTTTCTACTTTAGCTCTACTTCAGCTCTAAGCTCTACTTTAGCTCTACTTTAGCTCTACTTTATCTCTAAGCTCTACTTTAGCTCTACTTTTGCTCTAAGCTCTACTTTAGCTCTAAGCTCTACTTTAGCTCTACTTTAGCTCTACTTCAACTCTACTGTAGCTCTACTTTAGCTCTACTTTAGCTCTAAGCTCTACTTTAGCTCTACTCTAGCTCTACTTTAGCTCTAAGCTCTACTTTAGCTCTAAGCTCTACTTTAGCTCTACTTTTAGCTCTTAGCTCTACTTTACCTCTACTTTAGCTCTACGTTAGCTCTGCTTTAGCTCTACTTTAGCTCTACTGTAGCTCTACTTTAGCTCTACTTTACCTCTAAGCTCTACTTTAGCTCTACTTTTAGCTCTACTTTAGCTCTTAGCTCTACTTTAGCTCTTAGCTCTACTTTAGCTCTTAGCTCTACTTTAGCTCTACTTTAGCTCTAAGCTCTACTTTAGCTCTACTTTAGCTCTACTTTAGCTCTACTTTAGCTCTTAGCTCTACTTTAGCTCTTAGCTCTACTTTAGCTCTACTTTAGCTCGACTTTAGCTCTACTTTAGCTCTACTTTAGCTCTAGTTGTTATGCATGCATCTGCAACTTGCCCAAGGAGAAGTGGCCGGAATGGTTCATTGGCTCAATTGGTACTCTTTCAGATGTACGACCCTGGAGCACAGGGATTGCATCCAGCGCTACCCACGGAGGCCTCTGCGAAGCCTGGCAAGATCTCCACTGCGAGGTGAGAGATGATATGAAAGAAAATGAAATAAAATGAAATGAATCAAAAAAATGCATGAAAATGCATGAAAATGAAAGAAAATCAGAGAAGATCAGGTCTTTCAACATGTGCCTTGTGGGCACTGCTGGCACACCGCAGTCTTCCCGAAGTCATCCGTCAGTTGACGCGAAAAACTCCCAGGCAAACATGTGCGACAAGTCCCTCAGCGTTCTTGATCCCAGGAAGATTTATGTCATAATTCAATCTTAGATATCAATAGATATCAGACATTATCAGATCCATCAGAATCATCAGATTCTCTTAGTTTCGTGTCTGGACGAATACAGAGCAAAGACAGCGCCAAACATGCCAACTTTGCTTCACTGCAGCATCTTCGACCACGAAGACGCACTGGCAAACTTCCCAAATTGTTAAACAAATGAAGCACAACTATGCATAACTGTTATGAATTACAAAAAGGTGTGAGAAACAACGAATTGAGACGAAGCACCCTCCTCATTCTCGAGCCAACTTGCAGGCCGTTCTTCCACAAGTTGATCAGTGGCAAGGTTGAACAAACCTTGACCGCGAAGACACAATAATTTGCCTGGCATCCATTTTCGCCATGTCGCTTCATTGCTCTTCAACCAGAGACACGCGCTGTCAAAATAGTTATTTGTACCTAACTGCGTGCGCCAGAAAGAAAAAGCCACGTCGGCACTCACTTCCACCTCAAAACACAGAAGGAAAGGACAAAAATGGACAAACTGTGACAAACATGAACAAAATACAAATTCCTTTCACTCTCAACATCTCTCAACAGGGTGAGTTGACTGCAATGTAAAAAACATGCTCTTAAGCCTGGCTTTCATGCACAAGTGATACAGAATTATTCCACTTTCCTTATCTTTCCTCGCATCTGAAAACTTAAGCTGTAGATAGCTGTAGGGTTTTGCTAGTTTTGCTCAAAGGGTACCTGTTCAGTTATCAATCAGCTTCATGTTTGTAAAAGACATTGGATCCAATTCGACTGCCCAATTCATGCACGTGGCCTTACAAAGTCTCGTCTCAATTTCATGCAATGCTTTAGCTTTATCAGTCGGAGCTTCCAGAATTCCGAATGATTTCCCGGACCAAATTTCGGCCAAGAGGCCTGTTGGAGAAAATAATGCACATCTGGAGCCATCTGGATGAGCTCATAGTTTGCCTGCCACAGATCAACGAAGGGAAAAACAACGCCAATCAAAGGAAACCTGCTTTCACTGTCATTGAGGGACATGGCAAAAAACTTGCAGACGATGCCATCTTTTATTAAAATTGGCATGTCTATCCATCTCTTTTAATTTCGTTCTTTGTGGTGCTCTTTCGCATGCTTGTGTCGGTACGGAATCTGTGATGTAATTACTGAAATTGCGCATCGGTGTAGTTCTTCCCCAAACAGGTTTACCTGTGTGGGGTTCTTACTCCTTTACAGGGTTGCCTCTCCGGCCGTATGATTTCGGCAATGTCTCCGGGCTTGCGTTCCTGTCCGGGTATGCTCTGGGATCCTTGGGCCGCATGCTTTCATCTCCCATTTGTCTCCCATCTGTCTCCCACCTGCTCTGGGATCCTTGGGCCGCATGCGTTCATACTTGTCTCCCATTTGTCTCCCCATCTGTCTCCCACTTGTTTCCCACCTGCTCTGGGATCCTTGGGCCGCATGCTTTCATATTTGTCTCCCATTTGTTTCCCATCCGTCTCCCATCTGCTCTGGGATCCTTGGGCCGCATGCGTTCATACTTGTCTCCCATTTGTCTCCCCATCTGTCTCCCACTTGTTTCCCACCTGCTCTGGGATCCTTGGGCCGCATGCTTTCATATTTGCCTCCCATTTGTTTCCCATCCGTCTCCCATCTGTCTCCCTCTTGTTTCCCACCTGCTCTGGGATCCTTGGGCCGCATGCGTTCATACTTGTCTCCCATTTGTCTCCCATCTGTCTCCCACTTGTTTCCCACCTGCTCTGGGATCCTTGGGCCGCATGCGTTCATACTTGTCTCCCATTTGTCTCCCCATCTGTCTCCCACTTGTTTCCCACCTGCTCTGGGATCCTTGGGCCGCATGCTTTCATATTTGTCTCCCATTTGTTTCCCATCCGTCTCCCATCTGTCTCCCACTTGTTTCCCACCTGCTCTGGGATCCTTGGGCCGCATGCGTTCATCTCCCATTTGTCTCCCATCTGTCTCCCACCTGCTCTGGGATCCTTGGGCCGCATGCGTTCATACTTCTCTCCCATTTGTCTCCCATCTGTCTCCTACTTGTTTCCCACCTGCTCTGGATCCTTGGGCCGCATGCTTTCATACTTGTCTCCCATTTGTCTCCCATCTGTCTCCCACTTGTTTCCCACCTGCTCTGGATCCTTGGGCCGCATGCGTTCATACTTGTCTTCCATTGTCTCCCCATCTGTCTCCCACTTGTTTCCCACCTGCTCTGGGATCCTTGGGCCGCATGCGTTCATACTTGTCTCCCATTTGTCTCCCATCTGTCTCCCACTTGTTTCCCACCTGCTCTGGGATCCTTGGGCCCTTCAATCGTCGCCTTCGATTCTTTCCTCCTCGTTTCTGCTCCTTGTCCTTCTGCAGTGCCTCGTTCAGCTGATTCAAACGCTCAGGCGTGATCACTTCTTCAGAGGCACGAGGAGTACGTTCACGGTGCATTCAAGACCGAAATTATATTGCGAATTCTACTATGCAGTGGGCGAATCGTGGGTCAATTCAAGCCAACTGCAGAACACGCACACCTTTGATGTTGGTATTATTGACGAGTGAGGTCTTTGACAATGATCCAATGCAAGTGGAACACGGACGAAGTCGGGCACCACTTATTTCACAAAGGTCAACTCACTTAATTTGGAAATGGGCCTAGGATTCACACTGAAGGCAAACGGCAATCTATGGATTATCAACTAGGTCCTACGGGTTATGGAGATTAGTTATACGAATCGGAGGATGCACCCTGGACAGCGCAAACACTCCGGTACCCTACAGTCCTTGAATGTAGTGATGCTGTTGCTGCACGCAATCAAACACCTGAAGGCAAGAGGTCAGCGTAACTCAATGCTGACAGTTGCCTACGGATGATGTTTGGTTGAAATATGGATAGGCGATGCAACGACACGAAGGCTGGCTCGACCTACGGTGAAGTGCAGTAACCTAGAATATGAAAACGTGAGGCTGTTAACCAGTTAAACACGAAGTCCAAACCTCAAAACCTCGTGTTTAATGAATCGGCTGCAGACGGCAGCACCTGTTTTGACAACAGCTTGAGCCAAAGGTCAAGGTGCCACGCAGGCAAAATGAGTTCTTCAACATTTGGTAAGACAAACATGGAATGAATGAGTTACACTACATCTGTACACACTCTCGGGGTCATATTCGCTGTTATTTGATTTCTTACATTGATCACTTTTAGAAGGTCAATGTAACTTTGGATTACTTTGAGTTTCCAAGAGAAAGTGTGATGTCTTGCGCACTCTACTCTTTCAGTATGAGCTTCAACTTTATGGCTCATCAGTTCAACTCGCTTGTGGCACGTTCCAATGGCAACTTTGTCAGAATGGGACATTTGATTGTACACAAGAACTTGAGGGATCAACTTTCTGATAATGAACACGCAATCCCTTGAGAACTTTTGGTTCCACTTTTCAGATCCATGCTGTACATTTGAATTCAGAATTCACTTGAGTGTCACTTGAAACTTTGGGCGTCGACTTTTTCTGTCGTTTTCTTTTTGCTTCAAGCTTTTGTTTCTGCTTTTTGTTCAAGTGATCCTTGAACTACGTTCATGGGACAGACTCACTTTGGCACTCTCACTTTTATTTAAGGCAAACGATGCAAAGGAGTTTTAAAGTGCTTTCGGCGCCAACCACTTTGTACTAGAGACATCCCAACTTTTGGTTTCGAAGTCAACTTTGGTAGGATAATTGAAAAGATGCTGATTGAACTTTTCTGATCCTGGAATTTTGAACCAGTAGTTTGACTTTTTCAGTACTTTGCATGGTTATTCAACTTTGAAACATGCAAGGTTAATTAGTGTGACTTTAAAGTCACAGGGCTTTAAGTCAAGGGGGCGTGCGAAATATCATGCACTTTTGTCCCCTCTTGCATGTTTACTTTTATCATTACTTTGCCAAATACTTTGGCTCAAGGCTCATGTTCCTGGAGAAAAGGAGACTTTGCTGAGTCTTACTTAGGTTGGACTTAGTAGTTGGTTGGAAGTACTTAGAGTACTTTGGGTTTTCGCAAGCTCCCAACACGCGGCAAACAACACACCTAACGCCCTGCCTTAGCCACAACTCTCACCGGGCACTTGCACTCAGAAGTCTGCACTTTGAACAGGAACCTGAGATCTGCACTGCCGCCGCCTGCGCAGAGTAAGTCAACATGGACTGGCAGCTTGCCCCTCTTTTCACTCAAACTCTGATGCTCCCTAGGCTGTGTCAACGATGTGTCATCAAAACTGGGTCCAGTGCCGAGATCTGCATTTTCTCGCTCAAACTCTAATGCTCTCTAGGATGTCTCAACTTTCTGTCATCAAAATCCTGGCCCTGCGCTGTTGGCAGGCTGCACGTCCGCCCTGTGGTGGAATGAGCTTCTTAAGGCTTCCTGTCGATTTCAATTGCATCAGAAGATTCCCAACCACCGCAGTTGGCTGGCCGGAATTCTGTGGAAGCCCTTCCATGCAACCTTTTTTCATCAAAACATTCCTCGGCGTTTGGGCTTCGTGTTGGCTTCAAGCGCATCGGTCTTCTGCTTGAGCAGAGCGTGCACGGATGGCGACGCTGCACAAAACCGCTCATCCGCCTTAGTGGTGGCCTTGACATAGATGCAGTGGGCACATCGTGCCTTCACCGCCTGTGCCAGATCCTTGCTGGTGAAACGGTCAGCGAAGTCCACGGACCTTACGCACTGCTCAAAGGGGGCGTCCGCCACGCGGCGGGCCACCTCCTTGGCAGCCAGGACCTTTTCTGGGCCGAAGCCGCCCTGCGCATCGATGCCGAAGAAGCGCAGGATCTCCTCCTCCTGACTGCGCAAAACAAAAAGGCGCAAAACAAAAAGGCTCAAGTCAACCCCGTCCTGCGCGCTGATGGTTTCGAGCCGGACCTCCTCGAAGGTCTTGGTCCGCAAGGCCTGCGCCAGGTCCTGCGGGGCTGGAAAGGCTTCACAACACACCGAGCCTTTGCAAAGACAAGGCTGGAAAGACAAGACAATGCACCGGCCTCCAACTTGCCCACGTTGCCGCCGGAGAGGTGGAGGAGTTCCGACTTGTGCTCGACGGCGACGGCTCCACCGTGGTGCTTGAGGAACGTCTGGACCTGGTCAGGGAGAGCCAAACAAAAACTCAAAGGAACGCTCTCAGCAAACCCGCCTCCTCCTGCTGGCACTCTTCCTCGCTCAGCGGTTGGATCGGGAACCGAACTTCCCGGGCGTCCGCATCAAAGCTCAGGGCCATGGAGGCGCTGCTCGCCAACACGATGACTTTCGCCAATTCGGCGTCGTAGCCCCATGTCTTGGCGAAGCCAGAACAACTGCGTACAACTGCCATGTCGCTGACCTCCCGGGGGATCTCCAGGACAATGATGGGCCGTCGGCTCAGCGTCTTTGCGGCCTGCTTCAAGGCCTCCTTTGCCCCAACGTCGCCGGGGGCACCCAGCTGCTGGCAAAGCTTTTCTCGTGCGACCTGCTTGTCGTCGGCGAGCTTGCACGTGGACGATGCCCTCGTGAAAGCCTGCCTGTTCGAAAGCCTTGAAGAGGGCAAAGCTCTTGCCGGCCAGGTGGTTGCCCCAGATCAGCACGGGGGAGCGGTCATCCAGATCCAGCAGGCGCTTCATGGTGACCTAGCACAACAGGGTGAAAGACAAAGCGACACGGATGCTGACGACTTGTGCATGACACCGGGCCTGGACCTGCTCGCGCGGGATTTCCACTTTGGGCTGGAAAGCGTGGAAGGAACTGTGGATCACGCGATTAACCATACGAGCGCGATCTTGTTCTTCTCGTCGGCGCTTCCAAGCGTCTAGCACAAAGCCACCGATAGCAGCACCTGCGCCTAGAGCTGGTACGCTACCGGGCACGCGGCTGAACATGGCTCCGATACGCTGTTTCATCGCTGCTACAAGCCCAACATGACTTGGACACTCAGATTTCTGCGAAAAGAAAACATGCAAAGAGCTGCTTGCCACTGCTTGCGAAGCACTCTCTGCCGGCCGGTGCCTCTTCCAGGAACTGCGAGAGCTCCGCACAAGGCCTCGAAAAGTACGTACACTTGTAAATACACCGACTGCCGCGAAGTCAAGCCTACCCTGGCAAGCTACACTCCACCAACACCACTGCCACAGTCCCCACAGGCCTGCCGAAGGGGCGTTCGCAGAGCTCCACATGAAATGGCTGCGGAAGAAGCAAAAGCAAGCAACCATCACATGCAAAAATCCAGAAAATGCCCATGGTAAATCTTAGCCTTACCTGTTTTTATCACAGTTTCAATATGTTTCAATAGTTTTTTGTTAAAATTTGTTAATGCATCATATATGGTTTTAAGTTGCAGTCTACGTACACCTTTTGCACATGTATGTGCAATCAGGAGAAACTGTGTACACTACACATTCAATATATATTGTGTTCCATTCCATGTGCAGCATGCGATGTGCGAGACATGTTTGCTGGTACCTGGTTGACTCCAGAGATCCGCTTGAGCAAAGGTGTCTTGAATGCAGGGCATGAGAAGGCCTACAAAAGAAATAAGCTTGACTCAATCAACTGTAAAACTGATACAAATGTAGTCAAAAACATGGCTTGACGAATTAAGCGCCCCACTATCTCAGCCGACGCGTTACTTGTCAGCCTTTGGCGGTTGAAAGGACACGCCCGCACAACAGAACCCTTTCAGGTCTGTAAAGCCACTGCAAAAGCACAGCTTCGCTCAGCCAAGAGTGCCCTTTGGGCACATTGCATTTGCAACGGTTGACTTCTACAACCGCCTTCAGAGTTCACTAGCTCGCCTTCAGCCTTTCCTGGCCCGGGAATGGCTCGCATTGATGTGTTGTTTCCAGCATGAATCAACATGGGAAGAAAATGCACAAGCAATCTCCTTCAATTTTTCCACAGCCTTCTTCCGCCGTCCTTGCCGCGCAAGTTGCAAGCCTGAGTCTGCATCGAATCCAACACCGCATTTCTGAAGTCATCTGTTCCGTACACTTCGTCGCTATTTCCTTCGCACGCGGGACGCTCTTGACAATTTGCGCCTGTCATCTCCAAGGGCAGCTATGGTGATGTCCAAAGGCTTGTCAACACTCAATCCCAAACAAGTCTCTGAGACCTGATAACCACGCCACTTGACTTTGAAGCGCTTCTTCTCATCCACAATTCTTGCCTGCGGTGGAGAAGTTTAACAAGCGCATCCTTCATTTGCAAGCAGACACTTGCAAGACTGAAAACCATGTGAGCATGTTGCAATCAGTTTGGAGGGTACGTTTTCTTTTGAAACCTACATGTAGACAACAGCTCTTACAGGAATCGGCACAAGCACAATTCCTCCCCGAAAGAGCTCAAGCTGAGTACGTAATGCAAATGCAGCACAGGCCAGGCCATCTTTTCCCAGCTGCGGCTAAAACGCGTGAAAGGCTATGCCCCGCACCACTGCTTTGGCTGTCCCTTTTGTCTTCTTTGTAACCTTGCAGCCTGCTTCTGCTGAAGCCTCCTCCACTTCATGGCGCACTCGATATGTGCCAATCCATGTGAATTGGGTTCAAAAGCGTATTACTGAAGGCCCAGCGCCTGTCTGAATATCTGAGGTGACACAGGTAGAGGAGGCGCTTCAAGGACATGTGCTTCCTCCGCGACAAGACATAGCTTGGGATGTGCATGCTAATCAAAGACAGCATTGCAGGTGTAGGCAGAAATCATCTTTCTCGCATGACTTGCGGATTTTTTGGATAGCGTGCTGCTTGTTTCATTCTTGGATGTGTGAAGCGTGCGGCACTGGCCCGCCTGATCCTGCTCCTCAAACTCTTGTTGGTTTTTCCTACCATCTACTTGGAGGAATGCACGCAAGGCGCAATTATTGCACTTTGTGGGGGTAAGAACAACAAAGACTCCGCACACAACTGAACTGCAAGACATCAGTCAGATAGGGAGGTGTGGCTTTGGCAAACAATTAGGCGACAGAACTTATTCTCGGTGTCATTGCATCTTATGTCTTGCTCGTTGGCAGTGACAGCAAGTTAGCCTGTTTCACTTTTCCGTGCCCATCCCCCACTCTCGCTCGCTCAGGAGGGTTCTTTGCACAACACTTGTGGGTCAGATTAGTTTTGGCGTACCTTCTTTGAGCGCGCGCCTTGCTTGCTTGGCAGCGGCTGCTCGGGCCTTTGCAACACTGCATTGGTTTCACAAATGCTGTCAATACGCCCACACAAGCCAAATCAAAACATTTTAGGTTCCGTGCTTTGAGGCGCAAGACCAAAAGCACGCAAGAGATCATGGCCAGACTAGTTCGCCCGTGCTAAAACAGACAAAAAGGTTTCAATGAATGGCATGTCAAACAGGCTTCAAACTAAATGATGTGTCGATGTGGTCTTGTCTAGTCTTGTCTGGATTCATCTGCCAATCTTGACAGCTGCCTTGCCGGACAACTTCTGCATAAACTCCGAGCTGATTTGTGCTGGGACCCTGCAAAATGCAGATGACACACTTGCATCAGCCCAGAGTACGACGCCCGCTCCTTTTGTAAAGCGTCCTACACAAAACTCGTGGTCAAGTATTTTTTGCGATAAACAAAACAGGCCAAAGAAACCAAGCAAGTCAGGATGGACAACAAGCCTACTCACCACTCTGCTTTTCATTGGCATAGAGCTGAGGTGCAAAGCGTGAGAACGAAAATAGACAGCCAAGGCCATGTGCATTTGAAAGTTGCTGGGTGTGTGCAAGTTCCTTGCATTGCACCCGCCAGACCGTGACAAGACTGCTTAGCAGCTTGCAACTGTCTTGCTGTCACTCCCAAAGGCCAAAACACAAGTGAAGAAAGTTGCGAAAGGAAAAGCCCTGTTGGTTGAATCTAACAACAGCCATCTGTTTTTTTGAAATGCCCCCAGTTTCTTCGAGCATGTGAACCACAAAAGACCTTGGTGTATCGCGTGGCTGGATTGGTCAAAGCCTCCGCATATACCTTTTTCTCAGGCACGTGCACAGAGCTTAAAGCAACAAATGATGTGACTGGCACTAGAAGATTCAATCCTGAATTGTTGGTGTAAGATCTTCTTTTGCATTGAATTCGGCTCACAGCTTTGCGCTCACCACCCTTGTCTTATTCACAGAAGCTTTGCGGTCAGCGGCAGGAGCCTGTGATGACGTCATGCGCTGACATGTTGCTGCGCGAAGAAAGAGAAACCAACAGCTCAAAATGGCATCTGAGCACTGAGCACTAAATCCATGACGGACGATGCTGCGCACAGCATTCAGAACCTACACTGCTGAACCCTTTCAGAACACAGCATTGAGGGTGTCACAAGAAACGGCAACTACCTGGAAGTATTCTTTGGCGACTCGTCTCTAGCTCGTCCGTGATCTTCTGCCTTCCACAATATCCAAACAAGGATGATTTTTGAAAATTGGAACTTTCTTGGATGAACGAGCTGCTCTAGAAACACGGTGGGCTCTTTTTAGAAAGGAACCTCTCATGTTAACATCCCAGCATCTTTCAAGTGAAACTCTGCCTGCAGGAGATGCTCTTCCTGGCTGATATTGATCGGAAGCACCTGTTTTCAGCGTTCGGTTTCAGTTCCACAAGCGATGGCAAAACTGTTTGCGCCATGTCAAAGGATTGAACTGGACCAACACACAGCAGCAGCCCATTTGGACACATCCTGAAACTTCAAGAGATTTTTTGAGACCTGTCAACCTAACCTGGATTTCGATGGTGGTAGCGGGCATCTGGGCTGGACACCTGGCTGCTCAACTCATTTCTAACAATGAGGTGCCACAAACAGACGCCAACACACTTGCAATCAATGCAACACAGATCAAAAGATCTGGGCCTGCTGCGAACTCTTCCCCAGGAGTATGGCCATGCTCTGCTCCACTTGGTCCAGTCGCTGCCGAAGATACCCTCACAACTGGGCAGGTGTTGCAGCACCTGCAGGCCAAGCTTTTTCAAAAAAATATGTTTGTTTCTTGTTAAGGTTCAACACTCGAAAGGAAATATCAGTGTGTTTCAAAGCTGTCTCGAAGTCTTGAACCCTCACCAGTTCATACCAGTTCATTCACACTGTGCTTCCAGGTGACTGTTGCCAAATCGCGGCAAGTATTGTTACAGCCTCTACATCAGAGCGAAAAGATGCGTCCAACCCACGTAGCTCACACGTGAATGCACACAGCAAGAACCCATTCCGCAGCTGGAAACAAAGACATACCAAACTGGAAGTTACGTATTATAACATGAAAGTAAACGTAGAAGTACTCCTTGCCTTCTGCACAAATCGTGGACTCCCCATCCTTGGCAAGGAGCTCTGAGTCACAAAAATGCTGTGAACCAAGGTTCCCACCTGCACGACAGTCATGTTGCTGTCAGAGGCAGACCTCAGCTCACTTACCAAAGTATCCAAATTCCCGTTTTAATGCAAGGAATCGAACAGCTGAAATCCCAAGTCCTCTCAGCTGGCCTCCGGGACGCTGCGCCTTCGCTCCAAGCGCCTGCAGAAAGCTAAATCACCAGCGGAGAGACTCAGTTATGCTTTGTTTTTTTGCAGAGCCAGGAGAGTAAATCATGTAACTCATTTGCAAAAGGCTTCAGATGTAGCATTGACAACTACAAAGTTACAGTCCAAAAAGGCGAATGCGCCTGTGCTGTAGCCTCTCTCTGCACTCGCTCCAAGAACAATGCGCTGCAGTGGATTGTGGCGAGGAAGATGATGTTCTGAGACAGAAAGAAGCAACACGCGCTGAATGCAGTCGGACCCCTCCCCCAAACAATGTAGCCAAAAACGAGAACTAAAATGCCAATTAAAATGAAAACTGTGACAAAACATAAGGGTCATCAACTAGCCAACAGCCTCGTTTTGGGATTCCAATTTGTTCACAATGGTTCCATCAAGTTAGGCTTACCTAGATTATGGTTCATAGCCAGGTATTTACACTGTTCATTGATGCTCGGACATCATCACTTGCGTTTGCTTCTCAAGCAAATATCCTTCGAATCTTCCAGGTTGAGAGAGTCCATGCTTGTTGCCGTCCTTGCAACCGTCCTATAAACATCTCTTGATGGAACCGTGTGAAATCTCTTGAAAAGTGCATCTTGTCATTCACCCACCAGCGTTCGGCATGCCTTGGTCTCGGATGTATCCCGCAGCAAGTCCGAGAAGAATCACCTTTACTGAACCAAGAAACTATAGGTGCTTCACACAGGATGAAGCAAAGATCACTAAGCCACACACAACCATCCATAAGGCAAGAGAGCCGTGGTAGTCCTCGGCTAACAGCAGCTCAGCTCAAACTGCAGTGATTTCATGCTGGCTTAAAGATGTTAAGATAGGCCGGTTAATGGAAAACCCAGATATGCCCTTCAAAAGCAGGCTTGAAAGATCTTATCAGCAAAGAAGTAAGCACCTGTAGCTGACATGAGGGCGAAGTCTCTGGAACCTTTTGCACAAGTTGACCAGTTCAATGCCACTTTGTCCAGTGATTCTGCGCATGCCCTTCTCTGGTAACAACAGATCTGGCCTCAACTGTGACGTCTTCCACCTAAAACAAGGGAGCTGAAGCAAGGAAAGAAAGCAGAGCAAATGGAAGCTGTAAATGCATCTACTCGTGTTGCCTAGTCCCAGCACCTCTTGGATTGCTTCATCTTTTGCAAGTCGTTCCACCTTGAACTCTTGATTTCTTTGGATATCCATGTTGCTTTGAACTGATGACAACTTTGCACGTGACTTCAGACAAATGCAAGAAAACGCTGAACCATCTTACTTGCTAAGCACCCGTACCTGCTGACATGAGGGCGAAGTCTCTGGAACCTTTTGCACAAGTTGACCAGTTCAATGCCACTTTGTCCAGTGACAACAGATCTGGCCTCAACTGTGACGTCTTCCACCTAAAACAAGGGAGCTGAAGCAAGGAAAGAAAGCAGAGCAAATGGAAGCTGTAAATGCATCTACTCGTGTTGCCTAGTCCCAGCACCTCTTGGATTGCTTCATCTTTTGCAAGTCGTTCCACCTTGAACTCTTGATTTCTTTGGATATCCATGTTGCTTTGAACTGATCAGACAACTGCAAGAAAACGCTGCCGCAATCTTACTTGCTAAGCACCCGCACCTGCTGACATGAGGGCGAAGTCTCTGGAACCTTTTGCAACGCCACTTTGTCCAGTGATTCTGCGCATGCCCTTCTCTGGTAACAACAGATCTGGCCTCAACTGTGACGTCTTCCACCTAAAACAAGGGAGCTGAAGCAAGGAAAGAAAGCAGAGCAAATGGAAGCTGTAAATGCATCCACTCGTGTTGCCTAGTCCCAGCACCTCTTGGATTGCTTCATCTTTCGCAAGTCGTTCCACCTTGAACTCTTGATTTCTTTGGATCTCCATGTTGCTTTGAAATGATGACAACTTTGCACGTAACTTCAGACAACTGCAAGGAAACGCTGCCACAATCTTACTTGCTAAGCACCCGTACCTGCTGACATGAGGGCGAAGTCTCTGGAACCTTTTGCACAAGTTGACCAGTTCAATGCCACTTTGTCCAGTGATTCTGCGCATGCCCTTCTCTGGTAACAACAGATCCGGCCTCAACTGCGACGTCTTCCACCTAAAACAAGGGATCTGAAGCAAGGAAAGAAAGCAGAGCAAATGGAAGCTGTAAATGCATCCACTCGTGTTGCCTAGTCCCAGCACCTCTTGGATTGCTTCATCTTTCGCAAGTCGTTCCACCTTGAAGTCTTGATTTCTTTGGATCTCCATGTTGCTTTGAACTGATGGCAACTTTGCACGTGACTTCAGACAACTGCAAGAAAACGCTGCCACAATCTTACTTGCTAAGCACCCGTACCTGCTGACATGAGGGCGAAGTCTCTGGAACCTTTTTTGGGCAAGTTGACCAGTTCAATGCCACTTTGTCCAGTGATTCTGCGCATGCCCTTCTCTGGTAACAACAGATCTGGCCTCGACTGCGACGTCTTCCACCTAAAACAAGGGAGCTGAAGCAAGGAAAGAAAGCAGAGCAAATGGAAGCGGTAAATGCATCCACTCATGTTGGCTAGTCCCAGCACCTCTTGGATTGCTTCATCTTTTGCAAGTCGTTCCACCTTGAACTCTTGATTTCTTTGGATCTCCATGTTGCTTTGACCTGATGACAACTTTGCACGTGACTTCAGACAACTGCAAGA